ATAAATAAAAAAAAACCTATAATAGGATAAATTGGTTGGTGAATTACAAATGAAAAATAGTGGATCATAATGTTTTTGTGTGGTTTAATTATAAAATTCTTAGTCTTGAGTAGTACGTAAAAACTAAATATTAAATAGAAATCTAATCAAATTCTAATTTATATCAATGATTCCTAGTCTAAACCTAAGCATAAGAGTATATAGATTTAAACAAATTCTAATTTACAAATGTGATTTGTGATCTATATCACAACCCTAAAGTTTAATGGCAAATTGCTCAGAAACTATCATAATTTGGTAATTTCGAGCATTTACTACTAATTTGAGTTAATTAAATCCCAAATTATTATTTTTCAAGAAAATATGATTTTTATTTGTTATCATTAATTGTCTACTATTTGATTGTTAACATCCTAGTTTTTTATTTTAGTTTATTTTTTAAAAAATTTAGTTAACATATTTAAAATACAGTATATACAAGATTACATACTAATAATTTGTTAGATTTCAAAATTAATAACACTTATCAAAAAAATTTAAAAATACAAATAATCAAATAGAAAAAAACGTATATTTAAATAAAAGTAAAAATTTTCTAATCAAGTATTTCTATTAAATTTTCTAGATTAGAAATAAAATAAAATATTTAAATCTACTATTAATTAAATTGTCGTTAATATAAATTTTCAATTTTTTTCTAATCAATTATTTCTTTTAAATTCATACTCGTCATAACTATTAAATCAACTAGATTAGAAATAAAATTAAAATTTTTAAATCTAGTATTAACTAGATTGTCACTAATGTAAATTTTTAATTTTTATATAATCAAGTATTCCTGTTGAATTCATGCCGACATAACCATTAAATTGACACATGATCATGTCGACTCGTCCACCGCATGAGCATGAAAATTTTATTTTATTTCTAATCTAGGGCTTGTACTTTTATTTTTTATTTAAATATATGTACTTTGATTTTTTGATTTGATTATTTGTACATTCAATTTTTTTACGAGTGTTGTTAATTTTAAAATCTAGCGAATACTCACTATGTAATCTTATGTAGATCATATTTTTGACTAAGTTCAATAATTTTTTTTAAATAAATAAAATGCTAAGGGTCAAAGGATTGACCGTTGACAATCAACCTTTTGACGAGTTAAAGATAACGGGTAAAGATCATATTTGCTAAAAAATAATTCTTTGAGGTCCAATTAACTCAAATTAATAATAAAGGTCCAAAATTATCAAATTGTAGTAGTTTGGAGGCGGCTTTGCCATTAAACCCAATCCTATATGATTTTCTAATCTAAATAAAAAAGTATACAAAAATTTAGTAACATTTGTAATCTATATCACGGTTGTAATTTATGTCAACAATTTATAATTACCTTTTAATGGAAGCAAAACAGTTCGAGTAATCGGTTGACTTAGTTTAGAGAGCGAGTGAACTTAATCTTAATTGATACAAAATTTGATCTAAAAATACATGACTATATATATATATATATATATATATATATATAAAACCTAATAATTATGTCCTTTAATTATTAAATAAATTCCAACCATGTTAATAAAAAATAATTAAATTACCCATTAATCTCTAAAAGTCTAGCAAAAAGTTTAAGGTTAAATACAACATTTGTTTTTGTACTATACCAAAAGTATTGTTGCAACTTCTCTGCCCAAATATAGTTCATAACAAACCTTATATTGTTGGATATTTGTGCAAAATAGCCCATCCGTTAACCTTTTTTTTAACAAATTAATAAATTTTTGTTAGTTGATTAACCTTTAACCAATCAAGTGGCGACTAGGGTTGATTTAAGAATAAAATATAATTTTTTTAATATCCAAATTTTAAAATTTTCAAATTTAAAATAATTGATAATTATTATAAAATCATTGAAAATTGAAAAAAAAATTCTAAATAAAAATGTTAAAATAATCATTTTTTTCAATTTTTAATGATTTTATGATAATTATTAACAAAGAAAATAGAAAAAAATATATAAAGAATTTTTTTCAATTTTTTATTATTTTATAATAATTATTCATAAATATTTTGTTTTATGCTTTTCAATTTTATAATAATTATTGATAAATAAAATTTTAAAAAAATCTTAAGTAATCTTTATTAATTTATTATGATTATTAACTTTTTTAATAATTTTTTTAATAGTGATTATTAATTTTTTCTTTTTTTCTGAAAATTTTCTTTAGATTTTTTGTAAATATCATTATTAATAGTTATTATAAAATTATTAAAAAAAATTACAGTTTTTTTAAAATTATTTATTTATAATTATTATAAAATCATTAAAATTGATAAAATATATTTTTATATATTTTTAAAAAGAATTGTTCAATAATAATATTTATTATAAATTTATTAGAAATAAAAAAATTATGATTAGTATAAAAATTTTCTTTTTATATATATATTTTTTAATTTTCAATGATTTGATAATAATCATTTGCTTTAAAAAGATCAATTTTTTTTAAAAAATATATTTTTATCCTTAAATTGACAAATGTCGTCATTTAATGGGTTAAACATTAATTAACTAATAGAAAAGCCAACAAAATAATTGTTTTATATTAAGGCTATGTTTGTTTGGAAGAAAACAAGTTTCGAAGCATGTTTTCCTCATTTTCTTCTTTTTTTTTTTTTATGTTTGTTTTGTGTTTAGAAAAAAAATTCAATGAAAAATGATTGAGTATTTTTGAAAAAAGTGCTTTTCAAGTTAAAAAAGAAGAAAACATTTTTTTTCTCTCTCACGAGTCGTCTCGCTCTCGCGTTACTCATTTCTCTCTCGATATATTTTAATAATTTTTTTCTTTGTCGTTTTTTTACTTAAAATATATCAATTGAATTTTTCATTATTTATTATCCAATATTATTATTTATTTAATTATTTTCTCTCCATTTCTACTAACATTTGATTTTTCGATTTATAAATACATTAAATATTCTTAAAAACTATTTTTACACCTTAAAAATATTTTTATAATAAATATTATATTAATTTATCTCTATTTTTTTTATAATTATCTCAAACACCACTTAAACTATAGTTGAATAATTGGGAATGATTATTACAAGACTCGTAGTCATTTCGAAAAATTCGAAACTAATTAATTGATTAATAAATACAATATTATTTTCTCAATGCTATTCATTTGCAACTAAATCAATAATTTGTGACTAATTTTAATCAGCTGTAAATTATTTTTGGTAATTGTAGTCAATAATTAGTTACAAATTATTTCAACATTAATCTTTTGAAACCAAATAAATAATTATCTACAAATGATAGCTAATAATTTGTAAAAATATTTTTTAGATTAGATTATTAGTTCAATTTCTTAAAAAAAAAATCTTAATTAAGTTACTAGAATAACAATGTTAGGATTACTTAGAAGTTTTTTTTTTTTTACTAAAAGTGAATATTGACTTGATTTTGTTCCAAGTAGTTTTGATGAATAGGTTTGATGGTTAAAAATATATATTTTATTATTTATTTTTTGAATTTAAATCTTAGAGTCGGTATTTATAAAAAATTATTAATTTTTTTAAGTGCATCTTATATTATGAAATTGTAAATGTCTAGTTGAAGTTTCTTCAAAACTCTTTGATGTAATAATCACAACATGTTTTTGTATTAAATAAATACTATAATATATTTTTTAATATTTTTTATTTAATTACCAAACGTCAGAAAATATTTTTTTAAAAATAAGTTTATTGAAAATAATTTTTTCAGAATTAATTTTTTTATTAAAAATTATTTTTCATCAAACAAATAAAGCTGAGGATTTAATAATATAAGATTTATTATAAAATATATCTAGACTTAAGGATTACAGTAATATTTTCGATATAATAAATAAGCACACACAATGTATTTAACCCAAAAAATTTATCGATATTGATAACAAAAGTTGAAGCCGTTCAGCCTTATCCCCAAGGAGTGCGATCTATTCTGGTGGGAAGCAGACAGTGTGGTCAATTTATGGACAGGGCTCGATATCCACTATGGTCGTATTCCACGATTCCTTAATCTCTTCTAGACTTCCAGGAGACGCTTGGGCTCTTGGGATTGGCATCCGATCCAGTGGTTGACAATTAAGGCTGGTATTTTCTTGTCATGAATAATTGATGATTAGGTGCGATTTCCTAACTGGATCGTGATAGATATCACAGTACAATAATTATAAATGCTTTTCCATTATCCTTATCATTCAAGTATTTTCTTGTCTCATGGATTTTGAGGACTCGAAAAGTTTAGTTTTTAGAGTCGATCTAATATTAAATGTTATCTCAAGTGGACATGATTTGAAACTAACCTAATTTAAGGAGAAAAAATTTAGTTTGAAAGCTATAACCCTCTCTCTCTCTCTCTCTCTCTATATATATATATATATATATACGTATTTTTTAATTTTAGTTAACAGTTTTGGATTTATTTAACTTGATGTTAATGTCAAAATATGTTTAATTTTATACTTGTACATAAAAATATGTTTATCAAGATTGTGTATTTTTTATTTTTTTTATCTATTTAAGTCAATTTCGGATCATATTTAACTTTATTTTAACTTTAAAATATGTTTAATTTTATATCTGTATATCAAAATATGTTTATCAAGACTTCATCTTTTTTTAATTTTTTATTTAGTTAAATCAGTCTCGGATCACATTCAACTTTATGTTAATGTCAAAATATGTTTAATCCATTGTATATATATATATATATATATGATGGTAACATTTGGGAGTTCCAACGAGTTCTTTCTTCGTTCTCCAATCTCATCCTGTTGGTGAAAAATTATGAGTACTGATCAACTGCAAACTTAAAAAAGAGGCATATCACAACATAAATGGCTTCAATTATAGGTCTCTTCCAAATCTTGTTAGCAGTCATTTGCTTTCTCATCACCTTTTGCTTAGGCAAAAATGATGGCCTTCCTAAGAACTGGCCACTAATTGGAATGATGCCGGACCTCCTCCTCCAAGTCCACCGGTTTCATGATTGGGTCGCGGATGTTCTAAAGAGAAGCAAGTCTACTTTCCAATTCAAAGGCCCTTGGTTTGGTGACATAGACACATTGGTCACTGCTGATCCGGCCAACATACAGTACATAATGAGCTCGAATTTTTCCAACTTCTTTAAAGGGGCCGAGTTCAACAAAAGATTCGATCTTCTTGGAGATGGGATTTTCAATGCGGACTCGGATTCGTGGAAAAACCAAAGGAAAGTTGCTCAAACATTATTAAATCATCGGTTGTTCTACCAATTCTTGGTTAAGAGCAGCCAGGATAAGGTGGAAAGGAGTCTAATCCCAGTCCTTGAGCATGTGTCTAGACAAGGCCTGGTAGTGGACTTGCAAGATTTGTTCCAAAGATTCACGTTTGATGCCACCTGCATGATTGTGACCGGCCATGACCCTGGATGCCTCTCTATTGATCTACCTGAAGTTACTTTCTCGAAAGCCATGGATGATGCTATGGAAGCAATATTTTATCGACATATTTTGCCAGAGAGCATTTGGAAGTTGCAAGGATGGCTAGGAATCGGGAAAGAGAAGAAACTTAAGAAAGCCTGGGTAACACTCGATCATGTTATAGCTGAAATCATATCGAGGAAGAAAGAAGAATTGGGCAAAGGCAAAAATTTGATGGAAGAAGATGGAGCGGGTATTGATTTGTTAACTTCATACATGAGTGAAGATTATAGTATGGGATCAAAATCAGATCATGATGAGTTTCTGAGAGACACCATTATAAATCTCATGCTTGCTGGGCGAGACACTGTAAGTTCAGGTCTGTCTTGGTTTTTCTGGCTTGTGTCAAAGAATCCAGAAGTAGGGACCAAGATTCGAGAAGAGCTGAAAGCAACTCTACCAGAAAAAGAAGCTGAAAGATGGAGTCTATTCGACATAGAAGAGGTAAAGAAGCTGGTTTATCTACATGGGGCACTGTGTGAATCTTTAAGGCTCTATCCACCAGTTCCGATTGAATCCAAGTCCCCTCGAAGACAAGACACCCTTCCAAGCGGCCACCAAGTCTATCCAGAGACAAAAATCTTGCTTTCTTCTTATTCAATGGGAAGGATGAGTTCAATATGGGGAGATGACTGCTTTGAATTTAAGCCTGAAAGGTGGATTACAGAGAGAGGAGGGATGAAGCATGAGCCATCATACAGGTTCTTTTCTTTTAATGCCGGACCTAGAACTTGTCTTGGAAAGGATGTGGCTTTTACTCAAATGAAGGCAGTTGTAGCTGCTATAATCTACAATTACCAGGTTCAAGTAGTAGATGGACATACTGTGACCCCTAGCCAGTCTGTTATTCTTCACATGAAGCATGGCTTCAAAGTTAAGCTTAGTAAGATATGGGCTTGAAGATCAGGGATCCAAGCCATTGTCTGGGGATTGTACGTATCATCTATATATTCCTCAGTACTACTCATGTTTTTATCATATACTATTCTCCATATAAAACCGCAAAAGTAAATAAATATTGTAATTTCCACATTTGATCACATCATCATCCTGTTTAGCCCTATGCATTCTTATTTTAAGCAAAAACCGTACATTAGCATAGAAAAAGGAAAAAAATTAGCATTTCAAAGTGAATCATAATTAATTATTTCAAGTTGTGAAAAAAATAAATTCAACTTAATTTAACTGAACTTTTAAAAAAACAAACTAGAGTAAAAAAACACACATAAAACTCAGTTAAAACAAAAAAATTATAAACCTGCGTTCCCAATTAGCTCATCATTATTATCATCATCACCATTGTTGTTTTCTTTTCCACATTTTATCAACCAAATATTATTTATATCAGTACAGACAGTACCTATTCTATATCCATCCCTAAGGAAATTATTGAGGCCAGGGTTGGCGAAGTACCCGATTATCCACATGCTGGCCTCGACATGTTAACACTAAGATTTAAAGATGTTAATCTAATATTAACCGAACTACATAAATGATGATAAAAATCAAATATTGAAGAAAAGATTAAAAAAAATAGAGCGACGAAATAAAAAATAAAGAACAGCTGCAAATATCATTATTTTATTACAAAGACAGTATAGATCATTAATCCAACTATTAGATTAGAGGAAATCCTTAATTTAAAATAAAACTTTCTTTTTTTACCGTCAAGAGATGTGATTTAGCAGTAACGAGGTTATTTTGCTTTGACTAAAACTAAAATTTAATTTTTATTACTCACAAATAATTAATTATAATTATTTTTTAATGATATCATATTTGAAATCGTTTGGTTTAAAAAGAGTTTAGTAGTCGGTCAAAAATTAAAGTGTTCTAACGTTTGTTTAACTGAGAAAACAATAAGTTTAATCTTGATTGATGGAAAAATTGGATTGAAAATGATACTTTGCTTTTTCATTCCCTCGCATATTCAGACAAGAGAAAGGTTGAAATACAATCATTTATTTTCTTTACTTACCCATGCCAATCATATCTTCCTTATCCTTCTTCCATCCAAACATTGTGAATGTCGATTGAGTGGACATGAATTGTGTGGAAAAATATGCGGCGGAATAGTATTCTCAAATTTTTTGAGTTTTTTTAATCCATAACTGTATATGAAAGAACAATTTTTTAAAAAACTTTTGATTGACTAGTATAATTTTAATACACTATTAATATTATAATATACTACCAATACTAATAAGTAACTTCAACTTCACCTTTAATTAAGAAAAAACCAATATAATAAAATTATTAATTCATAAAAAAAAATGAGGCTATGTTTTTAGAATGAATCCTAAAATATCGCTTTTTTTCTTTTTATTTATACACCGTATAAAACTAAAAATAACATAAAATAAATTATTTAAATCACCTCAAAACTATAACACGCATGGGAAGTATGTGCTAGTAAACTAGTATCAATAAAATAATATTAGAAAACAGAGATCGTTCATAGAACTTCAGTTAATTTAATGACAAAAATTATCTTCATTTTAATTTGAAAGTTTCAAATTTGTATTACTAATTTGCATAAGTTGCACCCTAAATTATCAATTTTTGGGCAAATATTATCGAATTTCCTTTTCTTCATTATTTATAACAGATCACCTAATTGATTGTTAAGCGGAATGCTTAAACGACGTCGTTTAAGCATTCTTTTTTTGTTAATTTTATTTTTTAAAAAACATTAAAAATTGCTTAGATAAAGATAGATTTCAAAATCTTTAGATCACTTGATTTTTTTTTTAATAATGCTTTTCCTTCTTCTTTCAAGAGATATTTTTTTTCACCCATTTACCCGTACATAAAAAAATCATTAAATTTATCACTAATTTCTTTTAGTTCTTGAAAAGGACTTTCACTTTTTTATCTTTTTTTTTTAAATCTAGAATAAAATGAATAGAATCAAAAGATTGCAACAATGCCTTCTTCCGTGCTAGTGTTCGAAATAGATCAACCAAATCCAAATTGTTCGTCACCTTAAAAGACAGGACAATCTACTCGGAGGACATAGTTATGGGTAATGCGATTGTAGACTATTTTCAAAAAATATTCACCGGTGAACAAACAACTATGTTAGACTCTTATCTCCGGATAATTCCAACAATCATCACTTCGACCAAAATGATAACTTAATGGCCGTACCTACTATTGAAGAGATCAAAGACACTATTTTTTCTATGGATGAACAAAGTGCTCGGGACCGGATGGTTTCACCGGCATTTTCTACAAAACTTATTGGGATATAATTTGAAAGGACGTGGTTTGTGCAATTCAAGATGTTTTTAAGGGAGGTGAAATTCCAAAACGGGTAACGTGACACAACTTTGGTTCTTGTTCCTAAGTGTCCTAGGCCATCCCAGTTCTCATATTTAAGACCTAGAAGCTTGTGTAACTTCTCTTATAAGATTCTTTTCGGAATTCTAATAAGTCGTCCGAGTAAGGTTCTCCCGAGCATTGATTTCTTCGAACGAGTCCGGCTTTCTAAGGGAGGGCTATTCATGAGAATGTTGCCCTAACATAAAAGTTATTCAATGATATTGATAGGAAGGTCTTAGGGGGTAATGTAATCTTAACAGATGGACATGGCTAATGAATACGATCGACTTGAGTGAAGTTTTCTTCTTAAAGTTATACGAGCATTTTGGTTTCTCTCTCAAGTGGTCCAACTTAATTTACTACTCGCTTAAGTAATTCGTCGGTATACGTTAAGCTTAAACTCTAAGTTGTATGGATTCTTCAAATCATAGAGAGGAGTAAGATAAAGAGATCCCTTATCTCTAGCTCTCTTCATTCTTGCATAGGAGATGTTTAGTAGGCACTTGAATGCTCAAATTAATAATGGATCCATCTTCCCTTTTTACATTGGTAACCAAACCCTCACTCGTCTCACACTTGTTATTTGCTGATGATATGCTCTTTTTTGACAATGGAGGGAAACGGAATGTGGAGAAGGTTATGTTACTTCTTAAGGATTATGTTGTTGCTAGTGGGCAATCCATCAACAATAGTAAGAGCTTTCTTCTTTGTAGTTCTAAGCTTACAACTAGTAGGAAGAATCTCTTTACCTCCCGGACGAGTTTCAAGTTAGTTATAGAAACTCTTACATACTTGGGCATGCCTCTGTTTAAAGGGCGTTTTAGGATTAAGTTTTTCTCTAACTCGGAATAGAAGATTAAGGATCGTCTAGTAGGGTGGAAGGGTAAGTTGTTGTCAATCTGGAGGGAAGATGAATATGATACAAAGTGTTTTAAATTCCATACCCATCTATGTCATGTGAGTTCTACCTATTCCTAAATCTACTCTAGCTAAGATATAGGGATATATTTCTAATTTTTTTTTGAATACCGGTGGAGAAAGTAGGCATAGTTGGTTAAGTTGGAAGAAACTTTTGTTACCTAAGTAAGAAGGTGGTTTAGGGGCTAAGGACTTAGAGACAATTATTTTATGCACTTTTTCAAATGGAAGATGGCATGGGCGTATCTCACAAGCCATTTTTTGTGAAGCTCCTTTGTGAGGTCTAAATATAGGGACCCTTCGTTCGTTGGACAATTTAAGACCCGGGACATGTTCTTTGGTATGGCTACTCTTCTTCCTCATATCCATTCCCTTATCGGTAGCTCCATCCGGGTTGTTGGCAAGGGGAATATTAATATGTCGAAAGATAAATGATGTGAGGTTAAAATACCATTTCATAATTCTCATAATCTAGATATTACAATGATTCAAACAAAAAGGGATCCCTCTATTTTTCAACTGTTACCAAGTACGGGTTAGGAAGGAGTTGGATTGGTTACACCTTAATGATAGTTCATTAGACTATCTATGCTACTTGCGGTCTAAAAATGGTTTGTTTAAGTCGAAGGATTATTATGAAGCTTAAAGATTCATTGCCCCAAAGTTTGAATGGTGGTGTTGCTTATAGGACAAATGGTTGCCCGAAAAAGTGGATTCTTTGTTTGGTGATTCCTCCACAATGCTTTAGTCGTAGATCAAAACATTAAAAAATGTGGCATTTTAATGGTTTCTAAATGTCTATGCTTGCGGTATAGTCAAATGGAATCAAGGAGTCACCTTTTCTTTCGTGGTGAAATAGCAGGTATGCTTTGGTCCTTTTTTGGTAATATTTTGGACGTGGCTCCTGGTTCCAACGAGTGTTAGACAATTGGTATCGACTTAGCTCCCGAAAGATAAAATTGCTGATAAAAAATCTTTCTCTTGAATGATTTTTTTCAATTGTCCGTTATAGGAGATATGGTTAGTTAGAAACGAGCTATTTATGAGGAGGAGATCATGAACTTAGTATCGGTCAAGCTTAAGGTGTTGCATTGGCTCGGTGAACTTACGAATCTGTTTTAACCAAAATGTGAAATATCATTCCATGATAAACTTTGCATGAGTATTTTGGGTATGCATATTCGAGCCAATATTCCTAATAGAGGCGAATTGGATCGAGTGGCAACTCATCCTGTTTGGCAAATTGAAGTTGAACATAAATGGGGCCTCTAGAGATAATGTCCGTACTTATGGTGGCATCCTTAGAAAAAAAAAAGAGAAAATCTCATTATGGCATACTTTATGTTTTTTGGGACGAGTACAAACACAAAAGGCGAAGGTTTGGCTCTTTTAAAAGGATTACGACTATGTAAATTGCATAATTTCTCCCCTAATATAATAGAAGGTGACTCCATTATAATTTTAGATGGTTTGTCTCGCTTATCTTCGATTCCTTGGTGACTAACCTATGTCCTTAGAGAGTGCTTAGCAATCGGTCCTCCTTCTATGAGGATATAACACATTCATAGGGAGGGAAATATGATGGTTGATAGGCTTGCAGACCGAGCTTTTTTCCATCACACAAGCAGGATCACTTTTGCAATGCATGAACTATTGTT